CCATCCAAATGATTTCTAAACGGGTTTATTAAGCTGAAAAAGTTGCCAAGTTCCCCTTTAACGATTCTAATCATGGTTGAGAAAAAATTCCTGCTATCATTTATGAAATGATTAAACTTGAGTGTATAATAAGCTAAAATATAGTTGCAAGATAACGCAGGTGTCACTGTGGAGTGGAATACTTTTGGGATATAAAGACATGCTGTTGAACTTCTTTAGGGTGACATGGGCCTCATTCAGCAAAACATTTCACTTTTTGGAAGCCTGCAATGAACATGCCTGCACTTAGACTAGATCACAAGTGAATGGTCTTGCCTGTCTGATGGCGTACGTATAATGTCCTGAATGTATGATAAGCCTAAGCTGTTACCACTTCCTGTATACATTGTACTTTAACATCTGACTTGTGCTTCTGTGAGAATTTGGTCATGGTGCAAAGAAAAGGGATTCCTACAACACTTTGCATTGGTTAATGCTGTGGGTAGTCATCCTTATCGTCATCATTCTCAAAACTCATTATATTTTGGCAAGGTTGTTGACGAGGTCAGTATACTGTAAAGTGACTCTCTTTCCCTCTTTGCTCAGATCATGTTCCAAGCATATGGAGACAAGCAGGGTCCGTTGCATGGCATGCTCATCAACACCCCGTATGTCACCAAGGACCTGCTGCAGTCTAAGCGCTTCCAGGCGCAGTCTCTGGGCACCACCTATGTCTATGACTTTCCAGAAATGTTCAGACAGGTACATAACTAATAACTGACATTTTGACCCATTGTACTTGCCGTATGTTTGGTAATACTGACTGGCCAAATTATATTGACTGAGTAACTGTATTCTGATGTCTTTAATTTCTTTTCCCAGGCACTGAAAAAGCAGTGGCACTCTAGCCAGGCCTATGCCCACTTACCCAAATGCCCTCTTCCTTCTGAGCTGCTCACCTTCACAGAGCTGGTTCTTGATGCCCAAGGTCAGCTGGTGCAGATGAACCGACTCCCGGGGGGCAATGAGGTCAGCTTTTTATTTCATTTAATTTTTTGGATACATGGATACAGACATTTAAAAACATTGACATGAACTTTTTCATTATTCATCCATCTCCTCTTTCAAAATGTGCAATTTCTCTTTTGCACTGTAGGTGTCTCTGTGTTTCTTTGGCTGTGTTCTTGAGTGCTTGCTAAATACTTTGTTGTTTGGCAGTGCTTAATGCGCCATTGAAAGTGCACTGAGAGATACCTATGTCTAGTAATTTTATTTAAACCAAGGATAAAATGCAGTCTGAATCCGCCATGGACTGTGACATATGGACATACTCTCACTTGATCTCATTGGCTGCACCATTTGAGCAAATAATGAAAAAAAAATTTTTTTTAATAGAGTATTAACAGTGTATTTGCAGTACAGTATTAATATATAGTCAGTATTTATTTTGTTAAAGTGCCTCTGTTCTGTCTTTCCAGATTGGTATGGTGGCATGGCGGATGACCCTGCGCACGCCAGAATATCCAGCGGGACGTGAGATAATCGTCATAAGTAATGACATCACACACAAGATAGGCTCATTTGGGCCCCAGGAGGACGTGTTGTTTCTGCGTGCCTCGGAGATGGCGCGAGAGAGCGGCATCCCTCGAATCTACATCGCAGCCAACAGTGGCGCCCGCATTGGGCTGGCAGAGGAAATCAGACACATGTTCCATGTGGCCTGGCAAGATCCAGCTGACCCCTATAAGGTTAGCCAGCAAACTCTCATAACATTGTATTTGTGGGCCTACCTGTCAACAGTTTGTGTGATTGTTTTGTCATTTTGTTACTCAAAATTCACCAACTCAATATTTCATCTATTTTTTGTCTTATGATGAATGTCAAATTCCTCGTATGTGTATGTATTTGGCAATAAACCAAATTCTGATTCTGACTTAAAACATTCACAAGGTTTTTTGTTTATTTATTTATATATACTGTATGTATCAGTGTATTTCTTTATCATTGTATCTGATTTCTGATGATTTTTCTTTTTTTTTTCTTCAGGTGGCAAAGGAAGAATCTGTGTCGAAGGCAATGGTATGGGAACAAATGGCCCGAATTGCTCTGAGAGGGGCAACAGCAGCCAGTCTGAGCTGTGTCATGGACAAGCCTGCCCTCTCAGGTACCTTGATGCTACTACATGTTTGTCCAGTTGCATACTTTGAACATTAGGTTTGATAAGACTGGATCTCACTGGCTGTCTCTGTTTGCATTCAAATTCCTCAATGGGGTGAAAGTGCTGGGTCATTTCTGTGTGCATGTTTTTTTTTTAAAAGGAAAATATTCAGATGACACCAGGTCTGCTCCCTGAGAGACCTTTTTGCTGAGTACTTTTGGGCATCAAAAACCCAGAACCTTTCTGATAAGTTATTGTCCACTTTTCCTCTCTGGTTTCTTTAGGTGGCGAGTGGATCCTTGGTCTCCATGCTCAGCCAGTTGTGGAGGTGGGTCCCAGACCAGGAGTGTCCGTTGCATGACAGGTCCTGAGGGCAGATCAAGAGAGGTGGGGAGTCAGCACTGCCTTGTCACAGGAAAGAGACCCTCTGACACCAGGCTATGCAACCAACTGCCCTGTGCCAGATGGACCACTACCCACTGGGGACCGGTGAGTCTACTTACACTGAGCACAAACACATTTCAGTAATTGTACCTGGACTATGTCGTGTGTTATTTACAACTGTCAACTGTTACTGTTAGAAAATTGTGTGGTCTGTACCTGCTCTCTTTGAAAACAACTTCTGTTATGATTTGGCACTATGCACATACAACTGAATTGAATTTTAATTCATTGGAGTATATAATTAAAAATAATATAGCATCCTGTTATTACTTCCTTATCTATTTAGAGACAAATGTTTGTTATTGTTAGGGAAGTCACCTTTGTTCTGTGTTAACCCTCAGGTGTACCATGAGAATTTCCCAGTCCGAAAACTGATGCATAATATTTGCAAATAAATCTACAATTTTTTGACTAAATGCTTTTATTATGAGGCATAGTTAAGATTTAAAGGCTGAACTTGCTTGTAATGTTAATGAAATCTCCTTTTAGTGTCATGGTCAGTGCGTGGGACCCAGTTTGGCCACACAACACCGCCATGTTTACTGCCAAGACACAAATGCAACCAAAGTCCCCTACAGAATGTGCAGTGGACTCCAGAGGTAAATATGGATACCAGAACATGAGTACATTGTATATGAGTTGATATGTAATGTTGATCTACAATAAAAAAAAAAGTAAAGTGATACCTCGTGTTTCAGTTAAAAAAGCCGACAACTTTTGGACCCTTTTCTTTATGTGTGTTTGTATTTGCAGGCCCAGCTCCCTGAAGAATTGCTCAACAGAGGCCTGTGCCCTTCACTGGCGTGTGGGGCCGTGGACGCAGTGCACTGCCACCTGCGGACGGCATGGTTTCCAGTCACGCCAGGTGACCTGCATGCACCGTCGAACTGGAAAGGCCACACGTGAACATCACTGCATGTGGAGGCCTCGCCCTCCCAGCTGGCAGCGATGCAATATTTTGTCCTGCGGCAGAGGTGAGAAAAAAGTTTTAAAATAGCTCTGAATCTATTATAGGTTGTATTGCATCTCCAAATATAGTATAATAACGTATGTTGGTTTCCTATATATGTACATTTCCTCTTAAAAGAATATTTTAGAGGTGAAAACACCTCAATAACCTCAGAACACTACTAGCTTGTTGCTATCAGTCGGTTTCATGTGCAGAGGTTTGGAAGCATTTGTTTCTAAAATTTTTGCTGGAAACCCAGTAAAAAACAAGTTGCTTCTGGCATTCAGAGCACTGAAAAATTACTATAAAAAAATCTCAGCAGCATCAAGTATTCCCACAAACAATGTCCCAGTACTTTGAAGGAACCCACAGACAGTCCCTATAAAAATGGTTTACATTGGTTTTTGGGAGGAAGACATGAATTCCACTAATCTGTATTACAGTTCAGAAGTTGATATCTCGAATCTGCTTCACATAAAACGGCAATTCATACTTTATATCCAGAGAACCCTTTTTTTGTATTGTACTTGCTGGCTTGAGTGCTTGCTGAAAGATGATTCATTCAATAAAATATTTAAGAGGAAACCCTTTGGTCTATCTTGGGGAGAGGTGATCAGGCTTGAAGTGAGTACGTGTAGTAAACTGTGACCTCTGTGTATTCCAGCAGGAGAGTGTCGAGACAGCACGAGGTACTGCGAGAAGGTTCGACAGTTGGAGCTGTGTCCGCTGCCCCAGTTTAAGAACCGCTGCTGTCATTCCTGCCGAAACACCTGAGGTGGGGACATGAGACGAGGGCCATGGACAAGCTGGATAGGTCAGGGAAGATGCTCAGACTGACCAACAGAGACTTGAAACCTCTATGCCCCGTCCTTACACCCACAACTGTCTTCAATGATCAGTCTTGAATGGAGTTTCCTGAGTGTGTAGGAGTGTTTGGATGGTCATAGTGCCTGTGATCTTGTGTGGGTTTGAATTTGAAAGTTTTGAGAGGAGTGACATGTCTGTTAGTGAAGGCTTCAGTTTTTCTTCTTTTTAAAAAAATTAGAAGTTCATGCCGACAGCTTTCCTTAATTATGCCAAAGCAAAGATAGGTTTCCATTGTGTGTAATAGAAACTAGTGGTTGCTCTTTTGTTTCATAAAGGGGGAACTCATAAAGAAGCATTGTATCGGTGACTAATGACCAGTCCGCATTAATAGTATCTGGTGGAGTTTGGGGGGTTTCCTAAAACAAATGGAAGAAAAGTGCTGTCTCACCATGATCTATTATAGCCCCATCACTTCATGTTCAAACTAGGGTGCATATTATATTACAATTTAGCTAACAGTACACAAATATGTAATTAATATACTTTTTTATTGATTGACTTCATACCCTGGTATTCTGGGTAGACCCCTTAGCTTTTGATAACCACTGGATAGATGTGTGTTTGCCTTTATTGCAATGGTCTCCAAAACAGTGTTGGAAAAAATAGTTTTGATGCTAAATAAGCTTTTATTAATGAGGTATGGGTAAACTCTTGTTTAAAACTGAAATACAGCAAAATGCTGCATATAAATGAGAACTGTCTAGAATGACTAAAAGCCTAATATAGATAACATACCTAGTCACCTAGGTAACTGATCATGGTCCGTGCTATCATTTTGGGTCATTTAGCATGTGTTGACCACAGTGATTGGTCAAGTCATTTAAAGAGAAAAGGAATTAGGATTGCAGGTGTTTTAAGTGCATTTTTTGCGAAATAAAAAGTAGGTTATGATAAAGATCTGTCTTGCATGGGTTGCACTATGGGGGTGTATGACTGAAGCAAGTCAATTTTTGGAAACAATTTTGCACTCAACTCATGCAAGTCTTTGTTAAGAACATGGCTTGTAGAGTTTTCTTTTTTAGTTTGTAAAGTTACATTGTTTATATATTTTGTTTTGTGATCTTGGCATTTCTTGTAAAGATATTATGTTAAAATGTCCCTTTAACCACTTTGTGATGTTAGCATGTTTAAACATGAATGGAGCATAATAGTTCCTCACTGAGGTCATAAAGCCCAGTTCCTTCTGTCAATTCATATTTTTGCTTTACTGTCTCATTTTAGGAAAACAACAAAGTTACATTTGACAGCTCTTATATAATTGTTCTTCCTTGGACAGATTTCAGTGTTAGTTGAACTTAAAATATGTAAATATGACGTCTGTGTTATATTTGGATATTGGTTAAACAGTAGGGAACCTTTAAAGATCATAATTCATGTACCATACATTACTGTACCAGATAGACAGGGTTTGCACTTTTGACATTATGTCCTGGGTTCCACAATTCTTCGTCATTAAGTGCAACACATACCTTAGCAGGAGACTACTTGGCCTTTCATTAAGGTGTGATTATTTGATTTTATGAGAGGAAAACATTAACATATTACTTATGCTCTTAAGTTATGTAGATATTTGTTTTGTCCTTTTCACTATTTATTTTAATGAGTGTTCTTGTGCATAGTTTTGTAAATAATAACAGTGGTGGGTTTTAAGTATTCATTTCCCGACAGTTTTTTGGTATTTGATGTGCATGCAATGGGCACCCACTGCTGGTGACTTGATGTGTTGCTCTCTGCTCATGCCTGGTTAATCATGAAATAAAACCAAATACATTCCTTTAATAACATGTATGTTCTGATTTTATTTTTGCAGCATATCTGTTCGGATTTTTCCATTATTTA